TATAAGGTGATTTGGAGGGAAGCTTAGCACCAGGCTCCAACTCAATCGCATGGTCGACCTCTCTCATTGGTGGCAACTTCTTTGGCAATTCCTTAGGCATCACGTCCGCAAACTCCATAAGGACGGCTTCCACTTGTTTCGGCAAAGGCCCGTACTTCTCATCCCCTTCATTCAACATTAGGGTTGCAAGAAATGTGGCCTCGCCTTTCTTCCAAGACTTGGCAAATTGAATTGCCGACAAGTGCTGGGTACACTTCTTAGCTTGCCTTTCCAATGGCACCAGGCAAGGTTGTCTTCCGTCGGCCAGGATACAGAAAATATTGTAGAAGGGAATGGGAAAGGCTCGTACCTTGTCCATGAACTCTAACCCAATGACTACGCCATAGTCGTCCATCTTGACTACGGTGAAGTCGATCTTTCCCTTCCATGTGCCAATGTCTACTTGTACATTGCGCGCAACTCCAACAATGGGGGTGGCAGCGGAATTTACCGTCTTCACACTACCAGGCTTCTTTGTGACTCGGAGGCCAAGCCTTGTGGCTTCCTCCGACGTCATGAAGTTGTGGGTTGCTCCCGTGTCCACCAACACACGCGTCGTCTTGTCACCAGTCTTGACGTCGACGAACAATGATCTTCCCCCAACTTGAGCCTTAGGTTGTGGGAAGGTTGTTTAGATAGCATTCAGTAGACGGATGCATCCCATCCTTGCATCGTTACTCTCTTCGGCCTTGTCGTCCTTGAAAGCCATGGCCTTAAGGGCCTTCTTTTGTGGGCAATCTCGCATCATGTGAGGGCCGTCGCATAGGTAACAAGTGGGTTGCCAAGACTTACCCTTGCTTTTGTCATGCTTATCAGCTTTCTTCTCCTTTGGTTTGCTTGTCTCGGCCTTGTCCTTCAGCTTATGTTCTCCCCCACTTCTCTCATGGTTACCCCTCTTCCCCGTGGACTTGGAATCACCTTGGTGGCTTGATTTAAACTCAATCAAGGATTCGGCGGCGGCAATGGCATCAGACAATGTTTGCACGTGTCTCCTTTGTAGTTCGAGTTTTGCCCAATTTTGCAGTCCACTCATGAAGTACATGAGCTTGTCTTCCTCTAACATGTTGGGCACCTCGAATAACAAGCTCACGAAGGCGTTGACATAGTCTTTGACGCTCCCCGTTTGCTTGAGCCACCTTAGTTTCTCCTTGGTTTCGTACTTGGCATTTTGGGGATAAAAGTGCAACATAAGATCTTTCTTAAATTCATCCCAAGTGGTGAGGGAGAACGTACCTTGCTCAATCTCCATGCTCCGGCGACGCCACCACATAAGGGCATTGTCAGCTAAGAACATGGTTGCCGTTGAGATTTTGGACTCGTCATCTTCAAGCTTCAGGTACTTGAAGTATCGCTCCACGTTCCACACGAATGTGTCGAGCTCATTTGCTTCCCTCTTCCCATTATAGGATTTGGGTTTAAAGGAGTCGATTACCTTGGAGTCCAACGCCTTGATTTCCCTCAGCCCTTGCACGAATTGATTCACGACCGCTTCTTTACAAAACGCCACATTTCCCTTAAGTTCCCTTGTGTCCTTTATCTCTTCTTGAAGCGCCACAAACCTTGCCTCTATGTTGTCAAGGTGAACCTGGACTTCCCTCCGTATCTTGTCTACCATGGTGTTGAGAGCGCCAATGAGCTCATCTCGTAGCCCTTCCACCAAGCCACGCAGTTCATCCTTACCATTGTCCACCATGGTTTGGATTTCCTCATTGTCGACAACGTCCTCATCAAGTCGAGTATCGAACTCGAGTATGGTTCGTTCCACCTTCTCGAGTCACTCTTCCATGGTCTCCATCGATGCTTGCAAGTCCTTTAACTTTAGCTTGCTCTTGGCAACATCTTGGACCTCGGCAGTACGCTCCCTTAGCTCGGAGACTCCGGACACCATCTCTCCACTTGCCATATCCTACTTTCCTTCAAGTGATTCGCGAACTAGGCTCTGATACCAGCTGTCACGGGATGACTCTTTAAGCCTTCCGCCCGTGCGGCACTTAGACTTGAATACCTCGATGAACAAGCTAAGTAAGCCTTCGAAGCCTCGCTTCCCCGGATCGAATCACAAAGAAAGCTAAGATAGCTTGGAGAATGTTAAAATCACTTAGAAGATGGGAGAAAGGAAGCTTTGTATTGAAACTTAAGAGAACTTTACAATTGCTTACAATTCTTGGATGCCTTGGCCAAATGGCCTTGCCTCCTATTTATAGGCCTAAGTCACCTCCTCAATGGAGGGTTCTAGAATTCCCTACTTTCATCCAAAAATATCTAGCATAGTTCTAGATACATCTTGCCTAATCTAGATTGTTCTAGGTGAGGCTTAAATTTGTACACTTGTGTGGAATGTTACGGAATGCCCTAGATTATCTTGAACGCTCCGCCATGTTCTTGATTTTTCCGGGATGTTCCAGAAGCTTCCATGAAGACAAGGCTTTATGGGCTTAGATATATGATGTCTTAGGCGATTTCTTTGTTTTTAACATATGGCCCGTGACACTAGGACGTTTAAAGATCGCGGCTCTACTACTTAGTTAAAAAGGTCCATCCGCAAATATGACTGGGAAAGAAAGCTTCAAACTACCTAACCAAATCAAAGTATGATGACGTATATGTAAAATAAAGAGTTTTGCTTTCAAACTTCACTTTATTTCATATTTTCTACATAGCCATTAGCAAGATAAAGCATGCAGCCATCTAAACATTTCAGAGCTATGAGAAAATTGCTTCGACATAAAAAGAGCTAGTTAGCTAAAAAAACAATGCCAAATTGAGAAGAAAACCAAAGCCAACCATGTTGTGCAACCTCGTAGCTAAAAAGTATGTGTGATCAATGATTCAGAGTTGTAGTAATCAACCTCCTCCATTGGAAGCTTATTGAAGATTATCCGCCAAATCAAAAAGAGGAGGGGGATGAATGAACGCCAAATAATATTGGAAACTTAACTTTGAACAAAAATCGATTTCAACAATTTCATAGCCATCAGAAAAAGTAAAAGCCCCAGAAGAACAAGCTTCTCAAATCAACAAATCATTGTCCTTACAATAGGAAACGGTCCTTCAACTTTGAAGAAAAAAAGAGACAATAATCTATTTGAATATTTTTCCATGCTAATAATATCTGAGACCTTAGTGTGAAATAGAGAAGCATCGAACTTAGTAACACTAACATCCTCTAAAATTGGCGTACCCAATCACTTGCCAACCCAAAAAGAGTTATTAGATCCATTCCCGATCACCCAACAGGAATTTTGAAACAAAATAGGGACAATATATTTAGTTTTGAATCTTTTGATGCATCGAACAACCCTAATAAGCTTGAACAAAATGGGAAATTAATTAGTTGCTAACATGCTTGGATGCCTCACTAACCAACCAAATTAGTATTTCAGTTAAGGAACCCTTCCACATGGAATCTCACATGTAGATTGATTCAATACATAGATGAAAACAAATGTTATTTTAGTCTCTCAAGAGCTTGAATTGCTTTGACGCATTGGACTGTTTTTCTATCTGATGAAACATTATTGGGCTTGAAGTTCTGTAAGCAATAAAGAGAGCTAATTTGGGCTTGAGTTTGATTTTTTATTTTTTTGTCAATGGGCTTGAGTTTGTTTGGCAAAGGAGCTACCTCTATACCTCCCTCCACGTCTTATTTTTTCATATGCAAGGTGATGTGAACTTCAAGTGCCAAAATTGGTCTTTGACACCTATTTTCCACCGCCAACCAACCCTCTCCCTGCTTTTGTGACATCAACCGTATATAAATACGTTTTACCGCAGTTGATATTTGTTCATTCTACTACGGATTTAGTTTCCACTAATTCTCTTTCTCCTTGATAACTAAATCAGTTGGAAGATAAAACATTTTAAATAATAGGAAAACTAATGAAAAATGCTTGAAAACTTTGAGTTTTAACGATAAGGACAAAATAAAAGGTAAAATAAATAGTACCATATTTGACCTTTTAGTGTAAAAATGTGGTTTTTCATTAAAGTGAACAGTACCGCGGGCTTTTTATTAAAACTTCCTTTAATAATACTACACTTAATTATCCTTAAAACCTTTCTTTCTCCATGTAATTATATAATAATAAGGATTTGATCTAAAAATCAAATTCTAATACGATAATCCCTAAGATAAGATTGTCGAATGAGTACGAGTTATGGATGAGTATGACAATCCATTTATATTCAATTGATATATACATAGTGATATTGATGCGCAATCTATTTTAATTCAAGGCAAATCAAATTACGTCGGAGTTGTCTTACTAGTGTCGGATCTAGAAATTTTACTTAACGGAGCAAAATTAGGAAGAATTAAACACCAATCTTATCAAATTAAAAAGTAAAAATAACAAATAACCCACAAAATCTTAACGTGTCTAGGCACACGCTCAACTTGCCATATTTTCTCTCCTAAACAAGGATTTAGTGTGCACGGGTTGCGCATGACCATGTTGTGTTTAATGACGTCATAACGAGACTGCAACAACAACAGTAAAATTAGGTCAAAGGCTGATCATGCACAACTTAGGATGAATCGTTATAGTGTCAGTGGAATATTAAAGTATCGTTATAGTGTCAGTGGAATGTTAAAGTATCGTTATAGTGTCATTGTAGCATCTTAGACTGTCATTAGAATGTTATTACGACGTCATTAGATTAAACCAAATCATTGTGTGCAGTTGAGAAAATCTACTCAATTTACTTCTTACGCATGAGCTCACACGTAAGACCGCACAAATTAATATAAAAATCGAAAGCCTCACAAATTAATTTTGAAGTAAATTTTAGAATAGTGTCATCCATACATTTGTTTTGGTCGTACATTTGTTTTTATCGCAACAATTTTTTGTTAAACTTTTATCATTAATTTTTTGTAATTTATATAATTAGGCGGTTTAAAATTAAAAGAAAAGTAAAAAATTAAGAAAAATATAAAAAGTTAAAATGAACGGCTGGATAAAAAATTCTCAAATTTTAATGTTAATATTTTGAATTTGAGCACCACTTCCTGCTTTCCTCTCTCTCTTTTTTTTCGTTCGGCCTTTGGTTTTGGGGATCGCCATCCCCAGGAGCTTCTCCTTCGTCAACAAAAAGGTATGATTTCCAATTTTCCATTTGTTTTTTATATTATTTTTCATCGTCTTTAGCTGCTTTTGAGAATTGATCGAAACACCTAGAAGAAGTTGGAATTTTCAGTCAAGAACTTAGCCGGATTATTTTCCGATCAAAAGCTTATAGAAGAATTAACTGCTAGTTATTTTCATTAAGGTTTGTTGTTTTATAACCTTGTTCTAGTTCCTCTGCTCGGCGGGCTTCTAATTGTTTTGATGAATAAAAATTTGAATTTTGATTCAGGGTGTGTTATCAATTTTTTGTCAAATTAGAGCTTTTTCTTATGTATTATGTGTAATTGTTTCAAAGGGTTGGTTTTTTTTCCATGGAAATGACAAAGATTGTTGCTTTTTCGTGTTTTAATCGTGGTGCTTTTTTGCGTTTTCAGGTTTTGCTTTACAAATTTGAGCTAAATTATGGGTATTGTATAGAAGGTCGTTGCGTTACGGTTTGTTTGCATAATTTCAGCGTTGTCTTGGAAGCAAAAGCCCAGGGAATGCTGGAAGATGTGCCTAAGTGCGGACTCTGCCTCACAACTCCATGAGGTTGTGTCTATAATCGAACTGCCCTTCTTGATTCTTGCTGGTGGGGAACCCGTAATTCATAGCTGGTTTGTTCTCGGTTCCCAGAAGCAAGTTGGGCCTCTTATTATGCACGCAGCACCGGTTGTGTTAATGCATGACCATTGTGAAGATGGTTGAGCTTCTGGTGGTATTATAAACTCCTGCTCTGTAGATTGTGGATCATACGCAGGAGGAAGTAGTGTATTTATTGTTTATTAGGTTTAGATCGGGATGGAGAATAAATCGCATGTGCTGATGCAAAGATATGAGCTAGGGAGATTGCTGGGTCAAGGCACATTTGCCAGGGTTTACTATGCAAGGAGCTTGATAACTAATCAGGGTGTGGCCATTAAGGTTATTGACAAAGAAAAGATTATGAAGGTCGGGCTGATGGATCAGATCAAGCGAGAAATCTCTGTTATGAGACTGGTTAGACACCCTAATATTATACACCTCTACGAGGTCATGGCAACCAAAACTAAGATATACTTTATCATTGAATATGCTAAAGGTGGTGAGCTGTTTAACAAGGTCGCTAAAGGAAAGCTGAAGGAGGAAGTTGCAAGGAAATATTTTGCGCAGTTAATCAATGCTCTTGATTTCTGTCATAGTAGGGGTGTATATCATCGGGATATAAAGCCAGAGAACTTGTTGCTCGATGAGAATGATAATTTGAAGATCTCTGATTTTGGGTTAAGTGCCCTCGCTGAATGCAAGCACCAAGATGGGCTACTCCATACCACGTGTGGTACTCCTGCCTATGTTGCTCCAGAAGTTATTAACAGGAAAGGCTATGATGGTGTGAAAGCTGATATTTGGTCTTGTGGGGTTGTTTTGTATGTATTATTGGCAGGCTATCTACCATTTCATGATTCAAATTTGATGGAGATGTACCGGAAGATTGGGAAGGCAGAATTTAAATGCCCAAATTTTTTCTCACCAGAGGCACGTAGGCTACTGTGCAAGATGTTTGATCCAAATCCCAATACTAGGATTTCCTTAGCCAAAGTTAGGGAAAGTCCTTGGTGCAGAAAGGGGCCATACTCAAAAAATATGAAATCTGAAATGGGAAACAAGGATGTGGCTCGTACGAGCGCAGAAGCTTCTACTTCCAGTGAGAATATTATGGCTTCTGAGGAAAAGCAAGAACCAGGAAGACCTCCGAACTTGAATGCTTTTGATATTATCTCCCTTTCTGCTGGATTTGATCTGTCTGGCTTGTTTAAAAAAGATCCTTTTTACAAAGAAGCAAGATTCACTTCCAGACAACCTGCGATGGTCATCATCTCCAAGTTAAAAGAAATGGCTAAGCAACTGAAGCTGAAAGTGAAGAAGAAGGATGACGGATTGTTGAAAATGGATGGATTAAAGGAAGGTAAAAAGGGGATTTTGTCCATAGATACAGAGATATTTGAAATCACTGCAACTTTCCATCTTGTCGAGGTGAAGAAATCAAGTGGGGATACTTTGGAATTCCAGAAGATGTTGGACGACATAAGACCTGCTCTCCGAGACATAGTCTGGGTTTGGCAAGGTGAGGAAGAGCAACAGCTGCAGGAGGAGCAGCAACAACAACAACAAGAAATCCAGCCACATCCACAAGAAGATCAACTGCCTCAGCATCCGCCACAATAGTAAAGTTACCAGCTTTCCCCATGGTATCATATTTTTGTTTGTACATTTTACAGTCTGATAAGTTTTCAACTTTGCATGTTTGTCCTTGCAAGTGTCATGACCGGCTTAATAAACTTTGTTCCTCTTATACGTACATGATTACAATGATAATATGAAATCTCGATTGTTGTTTTTGACATGCTTGCATTTTTCTGCAACCATGATCTATTCATGGATTTCGATACCAGTTCTATAATTTGACGATATTTGGAGAATTAGTCAAGTCAATAATCACAGGATAAGCACCAGTTACTCTGCTTTTCTTGCCGCATAAACCGCTTCTGCATTGGGGAGCTGGAGTCGTCAAATCTATTTCTTTTTATTTCTCATCAAACGAATGGTATTACCCCGGCTCCACAAGGCCTGAGATAGCTTTTTCCGGGTGACTGATCATCACCGCAACCATAGTTGTCAGTTGTCACCCTGCACGTTGGCTCAATACAACGCTACTGGAATTCATATCATCATTTCATCCCCTTCCATATATTCATTTCGAAAAGGTCATCAGATAGTTTAATGCATTAAGGATGCTCAAACTCTCACCTTCATCTGTTCCGGGAGGCGAGGACAACCAACATAATGCTTGGTGTACTGGCTGGAAAACAAGTTTCTAATAATGTTAAAAATTGAGAGGGGCAAGAAGCACCCCCCCCCCTCCCTCTCCCCTTCTCTCCTTTTCTCCGTTGATGAATCAAAGAAACAAATTTCACTTTTTTATTAGTAACAGAAAGGTCATGGTTTGAGTCGTGAAAACAACTCTTTGGAAAACAAGGATAAGGCCCATAAGGGTGTGTACGATAGACGTTCTTTGTCCCCCCCCCCACCCTCGCAAAACGAGGAGCCTTGTTGTCTTGGAGCCACCCTTTTAGTAGTAACAGCAAAACTATGTGTACACGAATAAGTCCTCCTAGGGTTTTAAAGCTTGCAGCAGCCTTGCCTGACTGACTGCTTTTTATATAGTTTGGTTGTGCCAGACCCATTCAAATTGAAACTGGAAAAAGACCTTCACATTAAACGTAATAAGAACATAGTTCTCAAAAAAATTGGAATTTGGAACGTTCCCGAATGCCAATCTTTATTAATCCTCAAATAAATTTGATCCCGGTCGATCAATATAATCTGGAACCAAATTGATCCCAGATTTGGTACAAACTAGAGTCGAACCAAACTGGAAACACCCTCAGATGAAACACAATTAAGTATTTTAGAGTCCCAATAGCAGGCCCTTGAATAAAAACGAAAGTGCATAAACAGATGCAAACAACAACAACAACAAAGCCTTATTCACTAAGTTGGTTAGGCTGGCAATTGAAGTACAACCCCTTGAACCGACGCCATGTATTTTCATCGACGCACCAGACAAGTCACTACAAGCTTTCACCATCTTTTGAGAACCTGTAACAAGAAGTTTCATTGTGCTCAATGCTCATGCATGGCTCTGAGAAATGTCTCTAAGGAAGGCACTGATGTTCGTTTGAGATGATCCGCCTTCGTCAATGGCATGACATATCTGCTTAAGTTCTTTGGCCCTTCTCCTCATCTCTCTCCCTTCATCATCCTCCAAATCCATAAACTTCTGCGCCAGCCCAGCAATCTCCTCTCTTGTCACCAAATGGTCCATTCTGTCCTCAGCCTTCCTCAACCTCCACCCAACTTTCCAATCCTCCACAATCATATTACTAACCATGCCTTGATCCATAAGTAACGGAAACGTCAGAAACGGGACACCAGCAAAAACAGCTTCCCTAACTGAGTTCCAACCACAATGTGTCAAAAACCCACCAACACTAGAATGGCACAAAACCCTCAACTGCTCACACCAAGGGACTACCAAACCCATGTCGCCACAAGCATCTTTTAACCTATCCGTTTCCCCACGAGCCACCCAAATGAACCGAACCCCACTCATGCGTAAACCTACTGCAATCTCATCCATTTGGGCACCTGAAAAAGAAAGAAAACTTCCCATGGAGATGTACAGAACAGAGCTGCAAGGTTGAGAATCTAGCCATCGTAGATAGTCGATGCCAGCACTCGGGTGATCGTTAGATTTTCCGTAGGGTATTAATGGACCAACTGTGTAAATGGGTAGTGAGAACTTTGATCTTAAAACGTCGATGACTTGGGGTTCAAGCTCATAGATGGAGGGGAATAAGAGAGACTGTGCTTTAGGCACCCATGAGAAATCTTCGTGGATGTGGTGGAGAATCCTTGGGGATATTCGATTCATGAAATGAGGCAGGTCTGCTAGTCGTGTTGAAGAAACTCCTGGGATGTAGTCCACCCGTTCATTGCCCCTCTCTATAAACACACAGGAGAGCAAAAAAAATTAGAAAACGACATGGAGGGCACAAAATTGTGACCCATGCGGTGAAAAACTTTCTTACAAACTCATGAACTTTGTTGTTAAGACTTAAGCATGCTCGATCTAGTCCAAATCGAACTTCATCCTAATTTTGAGCAAGTTATGGGTTAACATGTTATTTTAAAACATTGAAGCTCTTGAAATGACCGTTTCACCATTCCACATGAGACACACACCGGTAAAACTTAAAAAGAGAACAAAATTAGATTGTTAAGTTTGATATGGATGATATCGACAAGAAGTTTAACCACAAGGGCATTGTTAACATACATTGAGCTTTGATCCCAAAATTAGGAGAGGCTATCTAGAAATTCTTTTATTTTATTTACACAAGCATAAAATTAGGGAGGAATATCGATCACGTACCCATAAAAATGTATAAGGCTAAAAATATGGGACTTGGCTTCTCTGTCCTCTCACTTCCCATACACTCTTATCTCCTCCTATTTGTGCGGTCACGGTTAACTCACGTCAACATTTTATATTACTATTGTTTTTTATCTTATTATTTCTATAAAAAAATCAATATAAAATGTTGACGTAACTTAACCGTAACCGCACAAAATAGGAGGGGATTGAAGTGTATGGAAAGTGGGAGGACAAAGAAGTCGGTTCCAAAAATATGTGTTAACTTACTACTTAATCTAATGGTACTTCTCTTTTCATGGCGCCAGATATCCAAGCTTTCGACTTTCTAGCTATATTTATATAGCTACAATTTTTATATTACGTATATACTAGCATAGGCTGTATAGCTAACTAAAATAACTAAAAATCAGCACCAAAAAGGAAAGAAAGAACAGATAAAAAAACAACATTCTTCAGAACAATCAGATATGTTACCCAAAAGAGAAGTCAATGTGACAGAGACACTAACCTAACAATTCAACCGGATAGTGCCCATTTTGCGCTAAAAGATCAAAATGTTGGAAAACGGAGAAAAGGGACGCCGGCATCGGCCAAAACGACGCCGCCGGGATACTCCTCCGGTTCCCGACACGGACCGCCCAAGGCAGGAAAGTGTCGGCCACGATCAGGCACGGAGGCGGCTCGAGCCGATCCATGAGCCGCTCGAACGGGGCCTCCATCTTCGTCATGATGGCGTCGATGAAGCCATCCATGTCGGCGGCGCGGACCAGCTCCGACGGGACGACGTTGGGAATCGTGGTGAGTCGAATGTTGTCCGGGGTGGCTTCGGAACCGATGAAGCCGAGCCATTCCTCCGTGACGACGAAGGTGATGAGAATGTCAGGCTTTTGTGAAGTCAGTAGCTTGCAGAGGTTCATCATCGGGTTGATGTGGCCCCGACCGGGATACGGCATGGCCACCACGTGGCAGATAGGGGCTCTCTGGTCTCTGGCGGGGTTCATGTCTGCGTTTATGAAGAAGAAGATGTAACTTTGTAGTTATAACTTATAAGAGTGGTTATATAGAGAGGTAGGTACAGAGGAGAAAGAAGGCAGTTCGAACTGAAATTAAGTTGGGGTTGCTTGATGGGTATGGTTGGCGACTCCATTGAATATTCAAGGTTCCGTATTTGGCTTGCTTGCTTGATTTGGTAAAGGGATTCTCTTGTGACGGATCCAAGACGATTATGGCATTTTTAATGATAAATTGTTAATTATGATGTTTATATTAAGAAAGGAAAATTGTTATTGGTATTCTACAATTGTCATTTGACACTACAAATTTTTTATGTTTAGAAAGAACAATACACGTGTGAAATGCAAATTGAGATTTATAGAGTCTAAGAACGGTTTTCTAAGACTATCTCCAACACTTGGGCTAAAAGTTAAATTTTTTAGTCCGGAAAATTTAGCTTTTGGCTTATATCCCATAAACAGTTTTTTTACTCCAACCCTTCTGGCCTAAAATTTTAGCTCAGGATTATTAAAGAATGAATTTAGGCTAATTTTTTTCTTAAATTAACTTTAAAAAAAATTATGTAGACTATCGTAAATTAATTTTACGAACATTTTAAGCTAAAAATATTTAAATTCCGATTAATATTGAAAAATTACTAAATCGATATGTGAAACTCATGAAACACTGTGATGAATATGAAAATCATGATAGAGATGTATAAACACAAAATACATAAAACACACAAGGTACACAGAACACATGTGAAACACATACAAAACACATTTAAAACACGTACACATGTGAAAGACATACAAAACACATGATAGAGATGAAGCACACATATAACACATGTGAAACACATGACACACACGAAACACATACAAAATACATACAAAGCAAGCCTTCAACTTTCACCAATCGATCAACTTTCACCAATCTTTCAACAAACTTTCAACTTTCACCAATCGTTCAATTTTCACCAAGGATTTGGTTGAGCATGTATGGCGCCGAGAAGGTGAACGTTGATGATGTTAGTTAAGCATTTATGAACGTTGATGATGCTGGTTAAGCATTTATGTAATAATTTTAAATATACTATGTTGGTATTTTCTAGTAATAAATTTAAGTGTCTTCTTGTGCAAAGTATTTTGTGTAGTACATTGGATAAATTATTGAATGGAGATTGAATTATTGAAGACATCTATTCTACATCAAAGTGCGGAATAATAAATACAATAATTATTGAAGGCATCTAGATTAATATAAACAATAATTCATAAGCCATAAATTTAATACACATGACAATTAATAAAGTACATAAACTTAATACAAACGACAATTAATAAACCACATAAACCACATAAACTTAATATAATCGATAATTCATACACTACATAAACTTAATAATGATATCTACTATCTTGACTTGGTGGTGGACTTGGGATATAGAGTTGAGATGATATACTCCTTGTAGCATACTTTCGCAAAATTTCATTTTGCTTACCACGTAAGAACTTCTTCATTTTTAGAGTGTATTTGTTGAGGTCCTCAATCATGAAATTAATTTCAAACCTATCTTGCTCCCTATCCCCTTCTTCCTTCATTTGCAAACGCATTTGGGCCGCTTCTTTTTTGCGAGCGCTATGGGTTTCGCTCAATCTTGCAATTATTTTAGTTATTTTAGCCGTTGGATTTAAATTTGGGCCGTTAGATTATTTTTACCGTTATATTTGATTATTTTCGATCTCAGCCGTTGGATTCAATGTATTTTAAAATTACATTTTTTTTAAAAACAAAATTTGAATTTGGACCGTTGGATCAACCAACCAATGGTTCGTAAAGCCCAGCTGTAGGATGTAGAAAAGAGCCGTTGGGCTCTGGTTGGTGGCCGACAGCGGCCCTGATAGTGGGCCCCCCTGTCAGGCGCTGAAGCCAAACGGCTCGTGTGGGGCGAGTGCGCAAGTGAACGGGCCGAGATTGGGCTCCCTTTGGGTGAGTCCACGCGTTTGTGGGCTATTTCTTAGGGGGGTATTTGGCCTTGGTTTGGCATTTGGCTTGGGTTGGGTTTTTTTGGGGGGGGGGGAGGGTGGTATAAATGAGGTAATTTGGCAAATAGCCCAGGGTTAAGTGTGGTCTAAGAAAGATCATTTATATATGTTGCGAAACTTTTCAAACTCTTTTAAAATCTTTCCAAAATCTCAATTGAATATGTAATCTTTTAAATGTGTTATTCATGTTCAAAAAGTATTAGACTATTAAAATACTGAGTCAGGTATCAACACTTAAAAGTGAACAAGTGCATGTGTGGATCCACGTAGGTACGAGTGGTCCTGAGACAAACCTGAGGTAGGAAAAAAAAGCTAGTGAAGGTCCTTCGTGGACTATTCAGATGTTTTGTGTCCATCCAATGTTTAATGAATGAATGTTTGGCATATATAGATATCATTTTGCTGGACGTGTCGATTTCTCTTAACACAAGTTGCATCAATCAGCAAAGGATCTCGACAGCACTTAGTAGATACATCTACGTGGCACGGCTCGATAGAGGACAATAAGCACATCAAGCGCTCGACGTAATTTCCTTTTTGAAACAAAAAAAAAAAAAAAAAACTAAAACAAGATCTGCACGTTGCGTGCTATCTTTGTTAGAAAAATGAAGATCATTAAACCAAGACCCCTCAAGGTTAGAATTTTGAATCTGTCAATTAACATGTGCCTAGAAGTTTTAAACACTTTCATCACAAACATCAACAAAAAGTAGAGTTTTATTTGATAGAAAAAGAGAACAAAACAAGAAATGCTCAATCCTCACGCACGCCCTCTGCGAAATGACTAATGAAGGCCTTGATGATGGTATGAGATGATCCACCTTCTGCAATGGCATCATGACATAACTGCTTAAGTTCTCTGGCTGTCCTCCTCATTTCCTCCCTTCATCATCCTCCAAATCCATAAACTTCTTCACTAACCCTGCAATATCCTCTGTTGTCACTATCCTCAACCTTCCTCACCCTCCATCCAACCCTCAATTGGTCACACCAAGGCACTACCAACCCCATGTCACCACAAACCTCCTTTACCCTATCGGTTTCCCCACGAACCGGCCAAATGAACCGAACGCCACTCTTGCACAAACCGGCTGCAATCTCGTCCATTTGGAGTCGGACGCTAGAAACTGAAAGGAAACTTCCCATGGCGAGGTACAAAATGGATGCAGGAAAATAAGCAAGGGTCTCGAAGAGACGAGGGATAGAACCTGGGAATCGCTCAACCAAAGGCAACGGAGCTTGCTCAACCTCGCTAATCGTGAATTCACTCACACGATCAAACCAAACGCTTGATTTGAGAAGAAAGAAAATACTCTTTTCGGTTGCACAAAGCAATATATTTGTAATTAATCGTCTCCCAAATGCTTGTATTTCATCATAAGAGACTCACCATAATTTAGATGAACTTAACAAATTCCCGAAGTAATTAAAATAGACAGCCTTTATTATTCCCAAAGCATAGTAGTGGTCTTCAAATTGTTTTCTTCAAGGCCTGCCTCTCCCTCATAAAAAACTGAGCTACAAGGTTGAGAGTCTAGCCATTGGAATAGTTAGCATCACTAGTTACTTGGGTAGGAGGGTCATTTTGCTCATAGTAGGGTATTGATGGGCCCATAGTGTAAATGGGTAGTGATAATTCTGATCGTAAAATGTCGATGGTTAGGGTTTCAAGTTCATAGGAGATGGCAGAGAATAGCAGGTATTGTGCTTTAGGTACCCAGGAAAATGAGTTAAGCAAGAATATTTCGGTTGCTTTCATAGATGAACTGAGGGAGGTGCGCTAGTCGTGTCGAAGAAACTCCGGTAATGTAGCTCACACGTTTATTTCCCTGATCTGTTAACAATGCAAAATTGTTGTTATAAGTAGCAAACTTACACAATAAAAACGAAATCTTAAACGAAATGTTAGACTTACAACACGAGGATGTGCTCCTGTCATATACGTAAAACTATCAGTTAACACTCACTAATATCTTAAGAAAAATGTTCTCTTCCTGCACGTTGGCTCAATTCAACACTACTGTCATCAGAAATTGTGGTAGCGACACTCAGAAGATGGCACTCTCACCGGTGATGTAATAAAACCAAATTGCAGTGTGCAATCTTCTCTTACTTCTTGATTGCATCCATATATGGAAGCTAGAACTTAAAAATAAGTCCTCCAGGGATTTTAAAGCTTGCAGCGGCCATGCCTAACTGCTTTTTATACAGTTTGGTTGTGCCAGACCCGTTCAAAGTGAAACAGGAAACACCCTCATATGAAACATAATAAGAACAAAATTCTCAAGAAAATTGGAGTTTGGAAAGTTCCCGAATTCCAATTTTTATTACTCCTCAAATGAATTTGATCCCAATCAATCAATATAATCGGGAACCAAATTGATCCCAGGTTTGGTTCCCAACCAAACTGGATACACCCTCAGATGAAACACAATTAATTATTTTAGAGTGCCAATAGCAGCCCCTTAAATAAAACCAAAAGTGCAAAACCAGATACAAACAACAACAAAAAAGCCTTATCTCACTAAGTGGAGTCGGTTGGCAAAACTAGATGCAAACATTCCACATAGTTGAGAATGCACTTGAAGTACAACCCCTTGCACCGACAGTTTGTATTTTCATCGACGCACAAGACAAATCACTACCAGCTTTGCACCGTCTTTTGAGAACCAGCAACAACAAGATTCAGTGTGCTCAATGCTTATGCATGGCCTTGAAAAATGTCTACAATGAAGGCATTGATGTTCGTTTGAGATGATCCGCCTTCTTCAATAGCATCATGACATATCTGTTTAAGTTCTCTGGCCCTTCTTCTCATTTCTCTCCCTTCATCGTCCTCCAAATCCATAAACTTCTGCGCCAGCACAGCAATCTCCTCGCTAGTCACCAAATGGTCGATTTTGTCCTCAGCCTTCCTCAACCTCCACCCAACTTTCCAATCCTCCACAATCATCTTACTAACCATGCCTTGATCCATACGTAACGGAAAGGTCAGAAACGGGACACCAGCAAAAACACCTTCCCTAACCGAGTTCCAACCGCAATGTGTCAAAAACCCACCAACACTAGAATGGCACAAAACCCTCAATTGTTCACACCAAGGCACTACCAAACCCATGTCGCCACAAGCATTTTTTAACCTGTCCGTT